GAGGAAAAAAAACATAGCAGCTTAAGGTCAAAATGTTGGTCAAAACTGGCGAGAGACCACAGTCCGAGGATTTTCTTTGGGGGGGGGGGGGGGGTCCCAGGGAGGGTGTATTTATGGAGCGGGCCGCCTGATGCCTACTCACCTCCACGCACTGCCGTCACTCCTCACCGCTCACCATGTCCTTCGCCGGCAAGTACGAGCTCGAGAGCCAGGAGAACTCCGACGAATTCCTCAAGCTGATCGGTAAGAAGCTGTGTGTTTCGAAGGGGGTAATTTTTCAAGCTTTTGCACCCTGATATTTAAATATATGATAAATAAAAGGCAAAACCAGGGGTGTAGTTAGAGATGAATGGATGGGGTGGGGGGGGCTGATGGCAAACTATTAATTACTTAAACCAATAAGTTCACATTTATTTGGAGGGAGGGGGGTAAAGCCCCCCTTAAATAGGCCTATCAATGCCCGTGGGCAAAACCAAATGCTTTCTGTGTGTCAATAATGGAAAAATATTGAACACACCTTAAAAGTGCTTGCTTGCTTTACCTATTTTTAAACTTTTTTTTTTTACTCCTTTATTTATTTAATTAAGGTGTACAATTAACTGGCTAACGAGTGATTTAGCACAGTCAAATGCTTACAGTGTATGTTAGAAAGCCAGCTACATTCTGCAGACTCTTCGCCATTTATATGGCTGTGTGGGCTTCAGCATAAAGCATCGGATTTGGCTTGAGGGCGTACTGAGGGATTAGCACGTGTTTCTGAACGAGAGAGCCTCCGACAACACGGGGGGAGCCTAATGAGAGCACTGCCCCTCTCTCCATACCACCCCAATCCCAGGCATTCCCGATGATGTCATCGAGAAGGGTCGTAACTTCAAGGTCATCACGGAGGTGGTTCAAGATGGCAACACGTTCGTCTGGTCCCAGACATACCCCAACAAGACCATGACCAACAAGTTCATCGTCAACCAGGAGTGCGAGATGGAAACGATGGCTGGCAAGAAGTTCAAGGTCAGTGTGATGACCTTCGCTTAGGTTGCTATTCACCCTCCAGCCTGACCTTCTCCCATGGTAGATAGCGAGCGACCACTTCCAGTGTCCTACACAAAGTCACCAGCTGCTTTTCTTGATTTATTAAATTCCAGTTCAGTTCATCTTTATATAGCGCCTTTCAGAAGCGCTTACAGAGCATCGGACAGTGGCATTTCTGCCAAAACCCGTTTACCACAACTTCCAGTGTATCATGTTTTTCTCTTTTTGTTAAAAAACTTTAGGTCACTGTCACCTTGGAGGGAGGCAAGTTGTCCGTGCGATTCCCCAAATATCACCTCGCAGCTGAGGTCTGTGGGGACAAGCTGGTGGAGGTGAGTGTCCCCCGCTGGGCCCGCCGTTCTCGGGGTGTGGGGGCTCTGTAAGGCACATACGTTTACCTCCCGTGTGGCTTCTCTCCCTCCATCCCAGTGCTCGACGGCTTCCGGAGAGCAGGGCGATGTAACCATGAAGAGAATCAGCAAGCGGATCTAGGAAAAGCGACGGCCCACTCCCAGCACCCTACTTCTAGCTGAAAATTAAAATACTAAAATGGCAAAATCCGTCTCAAGCCTGCTCATTTGCCCTGTGGAGTGGCTTTGCACTCCCCCTAGTGGCTGGTCCATGCAAATACATCTGCCCCTTCTGAAATAATCTGCTGAAAGGTTACTGCAGATTTTTAAGTGAAGCTCCAGTTAATTACCACAAGGGGGCACAACTCATCAAAACGTGTCTTTTTGTCCTAAGGAAAAGCCTCCGATTTGCATAATTTATGTTCCTCTCCAGTGGGAAATCCTGCAATAAGTATGCACATCCATTCACAGGTTGAGCTCTTTACTGGTATCGCTGCTGTGGGCTCTGGATGTGGTGACGTTTAAGGGGTTTACCAGCTATGGCAGTGTACAGCGTTATGCTGGAGTGTAACTTGGTGTGGCTGGAGTTCTCCATCAGGATGGCATGCGTCTCTGCGAGCTTTGCAGCATGCTGATCGAGGGGGTCTCATTATGGAAGCTCCTCACCCCCACCTTCAGCAGGGAAACCCCGCCCCCCACTGTCTCTATGGAAATGATCTCTCAGTGAGCCCCCGCCACGCAATGCAAAGGCCGCTGCTCCCTTCTGCACAAAAGGACCGGGGGTTCTGGCCCCTGCCCCGGACCCCAACCCCCTTGGCGGAAGGACCCCACCTTGCCCCCCGAGGGGCATTACAGAAACCCTGAAGTCTGGGGTTCCATGAACGCTCCGCCCCCCCAGCGTTGGTGGCGGAGAGTGGAATGTAATGAGAGGGCTTTTGGGGGGTGGGTGCTAGACAAACAGAATGTCGCTGACTGTACACAACAGGGAAAGATAAGTGCAGATCATAGCGGGAAAGTCTGACAAAGACTCCGGGGGGGTGGGGTCTCTCTTGCATGTACACCCTCACTTGCAGTAAGCATGAAGGCCCGCTGAACATGTGCAATCCCAGATAAGATTTTCCATGAGACTGCTGGGTAATTCGTCAGACTCAACAGCGGAAACGGCAGCATGTCCTGCCATTTTTTTAAGCTTCCTGTAATTTTTCCCAGTCTGGCATTTCCCCGTACTTAGTGATTGATGTGAGAGGGACGTCCTCCCCTTATTTAGTCTTAACCATTCTCCTTTGTCTGTCTTAAAGTAACACACAAAGAACTCAGAATTCAGTTATCCCCCTTCCCTTGTGCTCTGCTGTGCTTTGACTCGCCGAGAGGCACTTGCACCCAGAATGCACACGGTGAGGGGCTTTAAACACCACAGAGGGTTAGCGTTAGCGTGTGCCGTCAGTCACCAGCTGCTGTATCCTTGCTAGATGACATCACCAGTTCCCAAAACCGATCGTTGCTGAACTTTAAAATGGCTTGGACGGTGAACAGTAACTGAAAAATTGATACAAAGTTAGTTGTGTTGGTCTTTATTTTGGGTGGTCAAGATGACAGCAGGTGTCCATTCTGCATAGCTTGTATCCTTACAACCACACAAAGTCTGACATCGTGGACGAGAGAGAAAGTTTATGACCTGTTCCTAAGGCAGGAGTTGCTGGCTATGGACCTGCACTAGTTCTTACACACGCAAGTCCTGCGGCGACATCGTCACGGTTGCAATATGCAACATTTTCATTATGGTTAAAACTTACTGCCTACCAGCAGTAAAAATCAAGCAAACAAAAAGAAAATTCTCAAATAAGTTACTAATGATACTAACCTTCTCTGAAATCGATCAGTAATCGGTTTAAAGATTCACAGACATACTGCACCCTGGGATTCTTTGAAAATCCTATCGCTGCGTAACCGTGACGATCAGAGGGTCCCCATGCTGAACAGAATGTGGGCTCCAAATACACGCACGCACAACAGCATCTGAAAACGTACATTATGAAGAATTGAAACAAGAATTTACAAGGTACGATAAAAAAAAACAAACAAACAAAAAAAAAACAAAGTATAAGCAGTTGACGTAATACAGTGATGAGGTACAGGGAGGTAGCAGAAGTCCGGGGTCCAGCGTCATGGGTAACACTGGTAGACCAGTGCCTGCATGAGGCAAGCAGAGAGACACGGTGGGATTTCAGTGCTTCACAGACGTCTCCACTGGCTCAGAGGAAGGGTGGCGGAGGAAGCATTCTGAGCCACGGCTGCTTGGGGTCGGGCATAACCGAGTGGGACGTGACCCTGAGGCGTGGGGGTCATCCCACCTTACATAGAATCCAGTCTCTCTGCCATGTGGACAGCACTCACAGTGCCCCTGTGATCCTGAGCAGCCTATCAGAGTTCAGCATTCCGTTACAGATTTCCTGAGAAGAGCCATACAGCACAACGGGGAACTGCCCTCATGGAAAACAGTCATACAGCATAGGAATGGGGGGGAGGGCCCAGACTGCCTGGCTTCCAATCAGAAGGATCTGCTTAGACAGCGCCCACCAAATGCTAACCAATCAGAGGCCACCACAGCATCTCCATTGAGATCTGGTTGCACTGAGAATAAGTGTATTACAGGCTGGTCACTCAGACAGAGGCCCATTACAGTGTGTGTTTGTGGCATTCAGAGTACTCGGCCGTAAATAGTAACAGTAAATGCATAATCATGTATTGATGTACCATTATATTTTGTTTCTCTAAATGACTGAGTGCAACAGCTCCACCCCCCTCCCCCACCAAGACAGGCAGTAGAAAGACGGCCCCTCCCTGCCGAGTCCCCTCTGGCATCAAAGCCAGGACAGCCTCCCCATCCGGCTGTGACCGTCACATGGCCGCCGCACAGTGAAGGAGCAGGAACATATCTGTACACCACGAGGGCACAAAGGCAGCTGAAGGAGACAAAGCGTAGAGGAATGATCATAAATAACAGCAATGCCCCAAAGTCATCGCCTTCAAGTAACATGTCGGTCCCTGAATCGGCATGGCACATGTAAACAATTCCAGGGCAGGAGCCTCACAGTCACAGCTCGCTGGGTTTCTGTAAGGCAGCAACATTGGGGGTAGGTCCATTTTATAGACTGACAACAGGCTGCAGAATGATGTCACTTCCTTTCTGCAGGTGTGCCGAGGGAAGAAGGCGAGCGAGACCAGTTAAACCTCCAGACCTTTATGGTGTTTCACCCACAGGAACAGAGGAAAAAAAACATAGCAGCTTAAGGTCAAAATGTTGGTCAAAACTGGCGAGAGACCACAGTCCGAGGATTTTCTTTGGGGGGGGGGGGGGTGTTCGCTATTGGATGGATGTTTCCAGTCTTACTCGTCATTTTCTTTTGGCTTGTTTTTGAAAATAAAGCAGCACTTTAGTTTAATGAGGGGCTGTTAACCCGGACAGATGAGGGAATCAGAGCTATTTTAGATAATACCTTAATCCCCCCCCCCACTCCAAGACCAGAAGAGCCACAGATGATTTTCAAAACAGAACTGAGCCATGGCTGTAGATCTGTCCATCACAGTGTGGTGAAACACGATCAGTGGCGAAAACTATCAACAAAAATAGTCTCTCTTCCTCTGGTTCAATAAAGGGCTCAGCAAAGTCTTTGTTTCAAGTCCATTCCAGCGGCAAGAGCGTCATGTGAGCCCGCTGACGGCAGTGGTGTCCCCCCCGGTGCCGCGTTTCGATTTACGCTTGCTGCGTCTCTGGAGGGGGGCGGGACTAGGGCCGGGGGAGGGGGCAGAGGTGGGCCGGCGTGCGCGTCTGAGCTCGGGGGGCTCCCTCTTCTGGCGTCACCTGTCGAAGCAGCTGGCGGCGAAGCCGCGGTGGGAGCCCAGGTAGCCGGCGGGGTAGGCCACACTGAGACAGTGGCGTGGCTCACCAGCACCGGCCATCTGCACGGACAGGGGGGCCTGCAGGGGCAGCCCACGCACCCCGGGCTGCAGCCCCGATGCCAAGCCAGGGTATGAGTGAAGGGGGCCCCCGGCGGCCGCTCCGGAGAGCAGCCCCATCCTATGGGACTGGAGGTAGTCGTGTGACACCACAGGGCCCAATGCCGGGGCCTCAGCCAGCATGTGCAGCTGGGACAGGGGGGCCGGGTGCTGGGAGAGATGGGCAAAGCCGGCCGGCTGGAACAGCAGCTGCTGGGAGGAAGCGGCCCGGCTCTGGGCAGGGGGGGCTGAGGCCGGGGACGAGGGCTGGGCCGGTGACGGCAGGGAGAGTTGGCCAGATGAGGGGGCCGTTTTGCTTTTGTTGGCCTCTTTCACGTCATTGTCATGGGCACTTTAAAAGGACGAGAGGGAAAAAAAAAAAAACACAATACAATGACACCTCAGACATGTGATTATAGGATATATAAAACGGGTACATTGCGATCACAGCTATGAGGGTGCGATTAGGCTGAAGCTGGCCGGCCGTACGTGACAGAGGGCTGACAGCCAGCAGCGTCACAGAGCCATGGTCGCAAAAATCATGACGCCGAACGTGGGAGGAGCGTGTCAGGAAAGAGGAGCGGTCAAGGAAGACGGGCTGCTAACGAAACAGCTGCTAAAAACGCCCGCTGAAGTCAGCAGGGAACTGAGCCAGCATCTGAGCGGGAGCAAAGATGGTATTTATGGCCGGGCTGCATTCGTAAGGTGCTTGTGTCTACGGCTGAAATGCTAAAATCTGGGCCCCTAAGCAACAGAAAATGCTAATATGCCCTGAGGAGTCATTCTGCCCTTTGTCCTACTTGCAGACAGGCTTCCCTCTGAAGAAAGTCAAAGGAAGGTTCCGGGGCGCCGCCTCTGCTGACGCGGGCGGCAATCCCGCGGGGGGCATTAGCGCCGCCATTGTTCTGCACGCTCCTCCAACAGCCAAGAAATACGAGATCTCTTGACAGGGCTGGGTACACCCTGTGGCGCAAACAATGTCCTCTAATGATGTTCCCAAGATGATAATACCCGTATACACATGGCTAAACAAACGCAGGGGTGGATTCGGGAATGCCAGGATGAAGTCAGTCACCTCCTGTGGCATCACCAAGCAGCAGAGCTATGTGTCATTAAGCATTTAGGGGACACTTAGGACCCCAGAGGGACAAAGCAGATTTTCACTTCTACCATATTACATTGACATATAACCAGGACTGAAGCTGAAGTAGTGGCCCTATGCCTGGTCAGGTCTTTGATATTAATACATTTGCTAGGAGTTTCTGTTATTTCGCCCATACTCTGCATACAAACATGTACGTCTATAAAAAACATCTAATGTGTTTCTCAATACGCATACTTGACCGTACTTGTGTTCTCATGTACCCCTTTTACCTCATCTTCCAACGCCAAAGACGAGTTCCAATGCACAAGAACAGAAGTACGGAGGACGGTAAAGATCCCTGAATGTCGTTCTTGTCCTGCCTCAAATATCAAGGATTCATTGGTTGCATCCTTGCCAAATGAGATCAGTCCCATGATTCATTGCACCCCAAAGTTTGTCCTTGGGAGGCAAGTTAGCAAGACCAGTCTTGTCAAGACCACAAGTACGATCTTCACATTCTTGGTATTGAGAAACTCCCTTATAGTTTTGGTGTCGCAAGCAAAAGCTGAGATTCTGCGGGATTCAAGGACGCATGCCAAGCGAGGCGGGGGGAGGGGCAGCGGGCAGCCAGGGGCTCTTACAGGAGCATGAGCTCGATGCACTGGGTCAGGTGCTCCCAGGTGTAGCCTGTGAGCAGGTGCAGCGCAGTGGTCCAGCCGGGGGAGACCTGCAAGCAGACGCGCGAGGCCGCGATGCAGGCTGCTGCCACCTGGGAGGGTCGGAAGCTCAGGAAGGCGTGGTCTGCGGCACAGGCGAGCGTTAGAGAGAGACACGGGGAGACCAGACCCCAACACGGGCAACACGCTTCGGCCGACCGCCCCCCGACCCGCGTACCTTGCAGCGAGACCTCCAGGAAGTAGTGTGTGTACTTGTCCATGAAGGCTTTGGTCTTGGATGGTGAGGAGAGCGGCCAGCCGTTGTGCAGGTCGCTCTCCTGCACGGAGGCGTGGAGGTAGTAGTCAATGAAGTGCGCGGGCGTGGGCAGGCACAGGTTCCAGCCGAAGGTCTCCAGCAGCAGCAGCTCCATGCGGATCAGGTCGCGCTTGCTCAGCACCAGGTTCAGGCTGCACATGAAGCCCAAGGCGTTCAGCTGCTCCAGCTTGGGCACTCGGTCCTCTTTCTCCTCGAACTTACCTGGACGTGACAAGGGGGGGGGGCGGGGTGTTACGGGAGAGAGGCTAAGTTCCCGTGGAATCGGACAAGAGGAACGATGTTCGGGGGCCTAGGGAAGTTACACGGGGTGTTCGGCAGGCAGCGCGAGCCGCTCTCCAAGCTTGGAATGAGAATGGGGACATTTGTGGGACAGTGGGAGATGTCTACCCACAATGCACCCCTGTGAGGCAGCGGTCCTCCAAGTCCACAATCACCATCATGAGCCCCATAAAACACAAGCACACTGTGCCTGTCACACAGTGGCAGCCAGTCAGCTTGCGGGTTCACCATACACTAACCGGGTTCTAACCCAGTATGCAGTGAGAACTGGCAGGTAAGTCTGAGAGCCAGTCAGATAAAAATGCAGGAATGCGGATTCATTGGGTGGTAGGCGAGCACAGCCACAAACAACAGGGCTGGTCATTGTCTAGAGGGCATTGGAACTAAGACGCCTGAGGGTGGGTAGGGGTGAGCTTACAAAGAACGTCGTAAAGAACGCAGGCGGTCCTTCACAATGGAGCCCTAATTATCAGGTTTGACGTCTCACAGAAAAAAAAATAGCTAACTGGGGTCTAAACAGAAAGATAAAACAATAGGCCAGCCATTAGAAGGACACTGAAGTCGGAGAAGCTCATCACAGATGGGACTGCGGGGGGGGGGGGGGGGGGGGGGGGGGGGGTCACTGGGACATCCTTGTAATGCAAATGAACAAAACTTCTATTTTCAATTGCGCGCACACTAAAAATGCTAATCAATGAAATCAAAGAAAAACTCAGAGCAAGAAATAATAATTAATTGAATTAATTGGAGAAGCACATGAATGCAGAGGGTGGTGGGCATGTAAAGGGTCCTCGTGTCATAAGTGCCGCATTGTAAAGGCACACACTGCCTTTGTCGAGCCCCCGCGGGACACCCCCGCGGGACACCCCCCGGTCCATCCGCCGCACGCTGTCATCAGCGAGGGACGGCCGCATGCCACAGACACCGGCTCCGCGCAAAGGCGGAGAGATCCGGCCACCTGGTAGCAACAATACGAAAAAAACCAGGACAATTTAAAAAAGAATTGGATCGTTAGTTAACGTGAGAGACTGTGTGACTCTACACCGCAGGGCAGGAAAAAATGCCAACTGGAGTCCAGTTTATGTTCGAGAAGGAAGCAGGAGATAAAGAGGCCTGGAACATTCCGTCACGAGGCGGAAAGCAACGAGCTCACAGAGTGGGTCTGCAGATGCATAAGAAGCCCCTTCACAGCACCCCCACTCCCATGTTTCCAGTTACCTGGTTCCCTTCGGTAACCGCAGAGATGAAGGGAGTGTAACGGAAATGCTATGGGAGTTCTTGACTGTACACAGTCCAGCACGTGATTAAACACCCTACACAGTGAAATTCCTCAGGTTCTGCAGCACAGAGACACAGCGAAACAAATGACACCTGCGGGTTTAAAAAAAAAATTGGGGGGGGGGGTGACACTCTGAGCCAATCACAGGTGAGCTGGCAGGCTGCTCCGCCCACATGGTCTCCACAGGATGTTTGTGTTCGATCAGCTGATATTCTGTCCTCCTATTACACACTCTGGTGCTGGCTGCTATATTGTGGGATATTCAGGATTCATCCTGCCTTACAGCTGTGCTTTTCTGCACTAACACACACACACATGCGGACACACAAACAATACCAGTGAACCCAAAATAAACGTGACAGGAGGCAGCGCCCCCTGTGCACGGAGAACCTGATGGCCTGTTCCATTCTACTCCCAGGGGTCAGAGGCTCCCCTTTAAGGGAGGCAGGTGGTACAGTGGTGCTGTAGGTGTACCTAACTGGGATATAACGTATAACCCAGCAGAACACCTTTAAAGTGGAATATAGAATGGATGAGAAAGTTAGGTCTAACAGAGGACATTAAGATGGATTCTCTCATGGCTTGTGGGACAGCCTGCTACAGAGGCACAGCCACGAGCATCGGCAGGTCACAGGATGGCTGGCGATGACCGATAAGCGTGTGTGGATGGGGGCAGTGTGGGGAGGGTCAGGCAGACAGCCGGCACTGTCAGGGTACTCACAGCGCACGACGTACATAGTATGTGGCTAAGGAGACGGGAAGATGGGCCCTGACGGACAGAGCAGGAGACGCGCTGCGGGGGACCTGGGTGTGTGTGTGTGTGTGTGTGTGTACAGAACAGAATAGTGAGCTCATAGGGAGTGGGAGACAGGGATCAGGGGGAGGGGGGTGGAATGGAAGGAGCAGCCAGAGCAGAACACCTGTAACCATACAGATGGAGAACGGCGAAACCCGAGAGGGGCTGTGCAGGAACACATCACACACACACACACACACACACACACACACACACACACACACACAGACACACAGATACTGACACACA